GATTTTATCAAAGGCTTTTTCTGCATCAATTGATAGGACCATATGGTTCTTGTTCTTTGCCTTGTTGATGTAAGACACCAGTTCTTGTCTTCCTTATTCATGGTACGACCTTCACCTGCTTGGGAAGCAACTGAAAATACCATGGCTGGGATCAGGCACACCTTAGTCTTTAAATTGACATCTTTGCTCTTTAACATGGTAAAGAACAGGTCCTTGACAGCAGATTTTGCCAATGCAATAAATAACATCTTTTGATTTCTTGACTTCTTCCATGGGTTCTGATTTCTTGATTGGCTTCCATGGATGCTGACTGTGGATCCATGTAAAATGGCACCTTCCAACTTTCAGCTGTTTTACATAGTAGCAACTTAAGCATCTTCAGAAGTCAGTATTAGAGCATAAGTCCTGGAATCAGTCCCCCAAAGATAACTGAGAGATGACTGCATTAACACACTTACTACTCTAATGAGGTGAATACCTCACTCTCATTTTACAGCTAGGGAAACAGACTTAAGTATCTTTCACTAGGCAGGCAAACTGAGGTTTAAGTATCTTTCTCCAGGCTGCAGTGTGAGTCTAGATTCTATAAGCTTCCCTGACAGACTGTCTGGCTTCCTATGTTAAAGCAATGAGTCTAAAGGTTTGCTTTGATCATATGGCAAATAACCCAGCTTTCTTTTGTGTCACTCTCCCTAAAGATCTTCAAACTCACCTTAATTATCCTTGAAATTTCTCTTAATGTTGTGTTTCATTCTTTTCTTAAATGATGACATCTCATGTGATAGATAGATAGATAGATAATAAACCAAACTCATTTCTGTTGAAGAAGAATAGACTATACTCATGGCTGACCCTCCAGCAGGCTTTCAGAAGTTGTACATCACATGGGAGGAAACTCCCCATCTCTCTCCTGAGGAACCACTGGTGGAACTGAACTGGGTTGAGAGGCATCATCTTTGGATTAGCAGTGCCACCAGAGCTTCTTAGTCTCATGCAATCTTTAAAAATAGAAAGAATATAGAGGAATGCTTATAAATCAGGTAAAAATAGAATATAAATTTGTAATAATACAATCTCCATTGTCCCCCCCTTCCCTACCATGAAAAGTAGCCACCTTGATAGGTGTGTGTCATTGTGGTGTGCTACTCTTGATGGGTGGCTGGATTAGGGATGGTTTCTTTTCCTGTTCACCTTTTTAAAAGTTCCCTTAAAATTTACTCTCTTATAGCTCCTAAAATGAGACAAAATTCAGTTAAAAAAATCCAGTCAGATGTGGTGAGAAAGGACCTCTTATACATTGTGGTGGGATTGTAAAATGGTGCAACCATTCTGGAAGGCAGTTTGGTGCTTCCGCAAAAAGCTGAACATTGAAATTCCATATGACCCAGCTATTCCACTACTTGGAATATACCCTGAGAATATGAGAACTGAGGCACAAACTGAGATTTATACACCAATATTCACAGCAGCATTATTCACCATCACAAGAACATGGAAACAGCCTAAATGTCCAACCACAAACGAATGGATTGAGAAATCATACTACATTCACACAATGGAATACCATGCAGCACTGAGGAACAATAACTTTGTAAATTATTATCTAATTTGGGAGGAACTGGAGACCATTATGCTGACTGAATAAACTCAGTCCCATAAGGGTAAATATTGTATAAAACCGTTAATGTAGAATGAGTATAAGGATCCAGGGAGGTGGGAGAGGCTGGAAGCAGAGATATGTGGATGTTCAGGGAAAAGGGGGGGATTAATCATTGGCTTATACAATTTGATGGGGGGTGGTGAGGGAAATTGAAAGAATTTGTTCAAATATGTATTTGAATTTTGTAAATAAACTAGTAGGGGTGGGGGAAGTACATAGTCTGTAAGGAGTTGCACTGTGCCCCTCTGACAGTTCAAATTCACCCCACCGCTCCTAGGGAGAAATATGGGCAGTCTCTTCCAGTGCAGTTTATAGCCACAGAAACCCAATGGAAGGTCAGGGGTGAGTGTCCGGGGCTTCCCTCCGCCCTTGCAAACTCGGTCCGCGGACGCCCAACAGAGGGGCGGAGGGGGTCGATGGGGACCCTCGCTGGGGACTTGGGGACTTGGACGTCTCTGCAGATTCTTTCCAGGGTGCAGCCAGCCAGCCAGCCAGCCAGCCCCTGACTGAATGCGCTCCCTGGAAAGAATCCGCAGAGATGTCCAAGTCCCCAAGTCCCCAGCGAGGGTCCCTGTCGACCCCCTCCACCCCTCTGTTCGGCGTCCGCGGCCCGAGTTTGCAAGGGCGGAGGGAAGCCCCGGACACCCGATAATCTCTGACTGTATAATTTGAAACCACTTTCACAGGGCTTTGTGCCCTGTGAGTGATAGAAGGGGAAGGAGGGGTGAAGTACTGCTTTTGAATTTTGCTCTTGATGACCTTCCATCTACTTTCAAGGTTGCAAATCTTAATGGAAGCTGACTTTGTCCCAAGGAGTGGGTGATGGGTTTGAACTGCTCACCTTTCAATTCACCCAACAGTTAAGTTATAGAAGGACTTCTGTTTGCAAGAAAGTAGCACAATTTAAACCTGCACTGTCCAACTCATAGCCACAAGCCATATGTAGCTAAATTTTGATTGTGATGTTGTTCTGTGTCTGCAAGTCAGAAACAACTCTTGGCTGACCCTCTAATGGGGTTTCAGAGGCAGTTAATAGCACGGGAGGAGAGTGCCCTTCCGTGGAGCAGCTTGTTGATTCTGATGACATGCCTCTGAGATTGTAGTGCAGCTTATCATTAGGCCAGCAGAGGTCTCTAAATTTTGATTAGTTAAAATAGCACCCCAATTCTACTCACATTTAAAGTTCTCAGTACAATCACATGTGACAAGTGATTCTGCTATTAGACCACTTAGATGAACATGTCTATCATGTTATATTAGACAAGTGCTGGTTTAGAAGAAAGAAAATGGAATCTAGAGCCAGAAGGCTTAGAATCAAGTACGAGCTGATACTTGCTGTGTGATGTGGATAGGTAACCTCTCTGAGCCTATTTCCCCTTGAGCAAACTGAAGATAACAATGCCATTTACCCTGCACAGAGGTTAATAAAATAAAGGCAGATACAATCCACAGGGTATGGGTGTATCACGAGGTTTACCAGGTAGCCTATTGCTTCATAGGCTCTCAGCTTGAATTTAGTTTTGGTTTCTGTGGACTGAATGTGAATGTGGTAATACTGTTCATACCAAAACTTTTGCTTGAAAGGACATTCACAGTTCCTAGGTTAAATCCTTGGCAAATGATCCATAATTTCTTTATTAAAAGCTCTAATACACTGTGCTGTAAATATTTAGTATTTTATTGTTCTTCTACAACATTGTCTTAAAATGTTCCTTAAATATTTTCCCTACAAGTACAGCCTTCTATTTCCATTTCCCCAAAGTGGGTGGGAGGAAGAATAGGGAAATAGGTCTTAAAATAAAAAAGAAAAGAGAAAGGCTGTTTGTTCCCACCAAATTAAGTGGGCTAAATAAACAGACATTTTTCTGAGTTTACAGTGCAAGAATTGAGCAAAAGCTGGGGCCATTTGCTGTCCGAACACGAGATTTCCACCAGTATTTACAGCCAGCTAGAGAACAGCTTCAGAGCTGTTGGAGGTTCTGAGTAAGCAGAAGTTACTTGCTCACAGAATTTTATTTTATTTTTTTAAATCCAAAACCCAGTCACTGCTGGGTTTTCCTACAAAGCAATTTGCCTCCCTTAAAGCTTCTATATTCCCCCGAGCCAGGCTGTGTCTTACTTCTCATTTCAACCTCTCCCACCGATGGCCTAGGCTGAGCTGGCCAGTTTTGGCTCCGTGCAGAATCCTCACTCACGACCACCGTCTCTTCTGCACCGCAGGTTGTCTCAAGCCCTGGATGCGTGTGACACCATGACCGCTGAGGATTCCACCGCAGCCATGAGCAACGACCCCGCAGCCCTGTCATCGGCCAGGGTGCCCGAGGGCGTGGCCGGCGCGCCCAACGAGGCGGCGCTGCTGGCGCTGATGGAGCGCACCGGCTACAACATGGTGCAGGAGAACGGGCAGCGCAAGTACGGCGGCCCACCTCCAGGCTGGGATGGGCCGCACCCGCAGCGCGGCTGCGAGGTCTTCGTGGGCAAGATCCCGCGCGACGTCTATGAGGACGAGCTGGTGCCCGTGTTTGAGGCCGTGGGCCGCATCTACGAGCTGCGCCTCATGATGGACTTTGACGGCAAGAACCGCGGCTACGCCTTCGTCATGTACTGCCACAAGCATGAGGCCAAGCGCGCTGTGCGCGAGCTCAACAACTACGAGATCCGCCCGGGCCGCCTGCTCGGCGTGTGCTGCAGCGTGGACAACTGCCGCCTGTTCATCGGAGGCATCCCCAAGATGAAGAAGCGCGAGGAGATCCTGGAGGAGATCGCCAAGGTCACCGAGGGTGTGCTGGACGTGATCGTGTACGCCAGCGCCGCCGACAAGATGAAGAACCGCGGCTTCGCCTTCGTGGAGTACGAGAGCCACCGCGCGGCGGCCATGGCGCGCCGCAAGCTCATGCCCGGCCGCATCCAGCTGTGGGGCCACCAGATCGCCGTGGACTGGGCCGAGCCCGAGATCGACGTGGACGAGGACGTGATGGAGACCGTCAAGATCCTCTACGTGCGCAACCTGATGATCGAGACCAGCGAGGACACCATCAAGAAGAGCTTCGGCCAGTTCAACCCCGGCTGCGTGGAGCGTGTCAAGAAGATCCGAGACTACGCCTTCGTGCACTTCACCAGCCGCGAGGATGCCGTGCTCGCCATGAACAATCTCAACGGCACCGAGCTGGAGGGCTCCTGCCTCGAGGTGACGCTGGCCAAGCCTGTGGACAAGGAGCAGTACACACGCTACCAGAAGGCGGCGAAGGGTGGCAGCGCGGCCGAGGCGGCGGTGCAGCAGCCCAGCTACGTGTACTCCTATGACCCCTACACGCTTACCTACTACAACTACCCGCTCTGCACGCTCTTCGGGCCCAACAGGGAGTACTTCCCCAAAGGTTAGTGGGACTCTGCAGCCACGGGGCCTCCAGCAGCATGGGCACCCAGGGGGAGGGTGGGCCTGGCTTTAATTCACAAAACAGCTGCTGAATCTCCCTTCGTTGGGATTTCATTCAGAGTTTGCATCACTTTTGGTGGCGTTGAGAGAGAGATGCACCCCTTTCTAAGGGCTGAACTGGAAAGTCAGTGGAGCATGCAAATTATTCATGCATTTCCCCCACTTTCCAGGCTCTTATATGATTTGGAGTGAGCCCACTCATCTCTTGGTCATTAGGTTCCAACGCTTTTGTGAAATTAAGTCTTTAAAATGGTTAGGGGAGGCGTTGAAGTTCAGTAATGAGGACATAATGATAGGAAGCTGGTGAGAAAAAAGAAGAGGCTCAACACTGAATCTAGTTCTGTGACTTCATTTGAGCCACTTTTACCTCCCTGGGTGTTTCCTCTGGAATAAAAGAGCAAAGTGGATTAGCAAGTGCTCTTCCAGATCTAATTTTTGTATAGTTCATGGAAGTTTTGCTCTACTGACGTTGAAAGTACAGTAATGAGGACTCACAGTGCAAATATACTTTTTATCCCAACCAGATGAGGTATCTTTGCGAGTTCTTTAGAAAGCCGATTTAAGTCCCTTACCTGGGACTTAAGACACAGGCAGACCATGAAATGCTCCTTGGGATTTAAGACACAAGCAGTCCACGAAATACTCAGAATCTTGGGTTAAGTGCTGGCCCCAGTGTAGTGTGACTGTTGACCATTCATCATTGGTTTTGTGTGTTGTTCTAAGCAGGTAGCATAAGAGGCCGAGGCCGAGGTGCAGCTGGGAACAGAGCCCCAGGACCCAGGGGTTCTTACCTTGGGGGCTATTCAGCTGGACGTGGTATCTATAGCCGATATCATGAAGGGAAAGGAAAGCCGCAAGAAAAAGGATATGAGCTTGTGCCAAATTTGGAACTGTCTGCCATCAATCCCGTTGCCATTAAGCCTGGTACAGGTCAGTATATACTAGACTGAATCCTTAAAAAAAGAAAGACAAGAAAATCCTACCCCAAACCTCTTGCCATAGAGTCAGTTCTGAGTCACAGCAACCTTCCACCTGGTTTCCAAAAACCAGATTATCTGGAGGATTCAGAAATAGACCAAGAGGAGTGTTACCAGTTTTAGCTGTTGAGGGTGGTGCTAAATTGCTCTGGATTGTTTGGCTACCAGTCATTAGGAATTTCCCTAAGGCTGTTGTTTTGCAAGGAGACCGTTCTTCCTGAAAGCATCTGATGGATTTGAACTGCTGGCCTTTTGGTCAACAGCGCAACTCCTAATACACCATACCATCAGTGCTCCTCAAACAACATGCCCCAGCCCTGTCCCACTCTCTGGGGCAATTGCAGCCTTCTCCTTGGGCTGTCCCTGGGGCACCTGATATTCTCCTCATAGACTAGACAACATAAGTGGTCACCTGGACTGTCTTGTCTGGAACTTAAAGGAGGAGGCTGATCTGGTTTTGTCCTTTGTCAGACTTCCAGTAGTGGTTTTTCATGCAGATGTCACCCACCAGTTGTTGTGATTTTTTTCCCCCATCTATGACTGACCAGGTGGCATTGATGGGGTCTCAGAGGTGAAGGTATATTAAAGAATATAAGGCTCTCGGCTTCTTTAATGAGGTAAAAACTTTTCTCCTTTCTTGGTGTGTGTGTGTGTACACGCACGTACACGTGCACACTCACCTCTAATTGATTCTGACTGCTGGTGACCCTGTGTAACAAACTAGAATTGCCCATGATTTTGGGAGCAGATTGCGATTTTCCTCCCAAGGAGCCACTGAGTAGCTTCAAACCATAGAAGCTCAGCATTTGGCTGTTTGCACACCAGGGCTCTTTGCCTTTGTTTAGCCATGTCCAGTTCTAGCCCAGCTATCGGAAACCAGAGGTGCGGTTTATTGGCCATTTCACGCTGTTGGAAGGTGGAAGATTCCTCTCCTTCAGCCGCAAATAGTACCACTTGTGGCCTGTCATGGGCTTAGCAAACAACGCCTGTGAACAAGGCAGCGGGGAGAGATTTTTGTAGCAACTAATCCCCTGGAATCTAATTTCCAACGTCTATTTCCTCTTCCTGGATTGGCAGTGGGAATATGCTCGAAGTAATTTTGGCAGGGACTTTGAACGTTGCTTCTGCCACCAGGACACGTAGATCAGTTTGCAGATAGTGCTGTCACCCACTGGTCAATCTAATGCGAGTCAGGTCTTCGTTCCTAGCCTGCAAGGAGCATTCTTGAACTCCATGTGTGAGTCAAGCAGGAGCTTGGTATCAGCTCACACCACACAGGCAGGAGACCTGGCTTCTGAGAGCTAGAATTATCCTCCTGTAAACTTATCCCTGGTTTCACTGAAGATAGATTGAAGAGATCTTTGAGCAAATCCTCACTTCAACGTTCAGTTCCCATGGTTTTCTCTAGCTAGAGGAAGAGTAAATAGCCTGCCATTTAGAACATAGGTTTGCTTTCTTAGGGGTAAATGACATTTTCCTAATACAGCTTCCTTTTAAAGTGATTCAGTGATGATATTATGCCTGTGAAATTATTTCCCCATTAAGTGACTCCTTAAGCAGAGTTTCAAATTAGTGCCATTGGCACTCTAAACATTGGGGGAAAAAAAAAAAAAGAGTGATTCTGTATCTAGCTGTAATTCCATACAACAGACCCTGGACATGGGAGCTGTCACATCTCTTTGCTGGGAAAGACTCCTCTTGGCAAGTTTCAGCAGCTTAGGGTTTGGCTAAAAGAAAGAACTATCGGGTCACCTTTAGCCAGGTTAGATGGTGGCAAAGGTGTGAGGGAGAAGTTCCCATAGGTGGGTGGCCAGAAGAATCCAGAGTTACATAGCACAACACTGTGTGAAAACTTCATAGCCTTCCCTGGGTCCCATCCCCTTGGTCTATTTCTGAATCTTCCAGAAAATTGGGACTTTGTGTTTTAGGATAGATAACAACACAGGAGTCCTATTGGCACAGGACTAATGGAACATAATAGAAAGGTGGGTGAACGGTTTCTTCAAGGTTTTTGCTATTTTCTTTTGGATGCCATACCATTGTTTAGCTTCTAGCCATTTATTCAAGATAAACAAAAGTTGGAGGTGAAAAACCACAACTGAAAACATTCTTTGTCTATTCATTTCATTTTGTTGTTTAACCTTCACACACACACACACACACACACACACACGTTAGATTACCAAACTTCCCAAGCCAAGCCTACAGCTTCCTTTTTCTATCTCTTGATGGTGGGGCAACTTTCATTAACTATCTGTTTGAATCCCTTGTGGAAATCAGTCCTTGGGGTTTTACACACAGAAGGTGTCTATGAATTGGCAGGTTCCACACCAAAAATACAGTCACTCTCCTACTTCACTCTTAAGTGTAAATATTAATCGTGTGTTTTGTCTTGCATCACTAATGTTGAAATCAGAACTATTGGTGGGAACGGATGCACTCCGACCTCGGAGTTCTCGGAATGAAACCCTCAGCAGCGCCTGCTGCTTAAAAGGGGGTGCAAGTGGGAAGGAAAGTAGGTCTGGTACTGAGTGAGGCACTTCATCAGGAAGGAGCACATGCAAGAAAGAAGTAGAAGGAGAAGTGGAAGGCAAGGAGCTCCGGAGGCTAGTTTATAGAAAGCTGTACTGCTGATTCAGAGCATGTGCCTCTCTGGCGTTTCAAGTCCTCCAGCCGCTCCTGGGACCATGGGTGGCCTAGTGGCTAAGGAGCTGCCCTGTCAGCCCAGTCTACTAGTCATGGTGAAGCAGAAGCTGGGCAGTCTCCTCCCGTGTGACTTAGAGTCTCTGAAAACCCACTGGAGTCCACAGCCATATCACCCTGAACGTGCATGGCTTCATCTGAAGACCCACTGGCAGGTTAGCTCTGAGGTGGTTCTAACTCTATGGCGTGTAACAGCAACACTCTTGGAGAAAGATGGGCAACCTCTTCCTGGGCAGTTCACAGCCTAACAATCATGGGGGAGAACCACCTGGGAGTTTGTTCCACCTCTACAGCAATGAGAGTACAAGATGTTGATGTAGGAAAGGTTACAGAGCCTTAACTGCTCAGCCTCCTTTGTGATGGTCAGTGGGACTGTCTTTACCTTGGTGGTCCCTTTTGAATGACACAAGTGGGCGATCCCTGCTCCCCTCCTCTTACTGTTGTGGGGGGGAGGGTACCTCATTACGTGGCTTGTGCTGAGAGAGCATTTGTTAACACGGAGAAACACATGACTCTGTGTGTGTGTGCCATCAAATCAGATCTCACTGGTACAGGAGGAGATTGCCCTTCCTTCTTCAGCAGAGCATCGGTGGATTCGAACCTCATACCTCTGGGATTGCAGTACAGCTTCTTGTCACTAGGCCAGCAGAGCTCCCTGAAACACATGACTGTTAAGCTTGGCATTTAATAACATCTTGGAGAAAGCAGTGGGCCTCTCCTGTGGCTGATTTGTTTCTCCCCTCTCCTTTATCTTGCAGTGGCCATCCCTACCATCGGTGCCCAGTATTCCATGTTTCAGGCCGCTTCCGCTCATAAAATGATTGAAGATGGCAAGATCCACACGATGGAGCACATGATCAGCCCCATCACAGTGCAGCCCGACCCGGCCAGTGCTGCCGCTGCCGCCGCTGCTGCTGCTGTCATTCCTGCCGTGTCCACACCTCCACCTTTCCAGGTAAGGCTCTTCGGTGGACCTGGTGAGTGTGTGATACCTCTCTGTAGTGTGGATTCATTTACTGCTCAGCGCTAAGTCTCTATTATGTGCTATTAGGTCTTACATGCCTAGAGCTCTGGAAGCCTAGTGGATAAGGAGCTGTTCTGCCAACCTAAAGATAGGAGGTTCAAATCCATCCACTGCTCCTTGGGAGAAAGATGGGCGTCTCCTTCCAACATGGTAGTAACTGACTCTGAAAATCCACTGGAGGGTCAGTTCTAACTTGATGGCACACAACAACAATATGTATATACACAGAGAGAAAGATATGTATGTATGTATGTATGTATGTATGTATGTATGTATGTATGTCTATGGGGAGCTCTGGTGGCCTAGGGGTAAGGAATTGATCCGCCAACCCAACAGCGGGCAGTTTGGATCTTCTGTCTGCTCCATGGGAGAGAGATGACTAGTCTTCTCTTGTGTGATCGACACGAAAGTCCACAGGAGAATCAGCTTTCGAAATCCCATGGGAGGGTCAGTTACTAACTGGTTCTGACTCAGCAGCACATAATAATAGCATAAATGTAAACACACAGAGAGAAAAATACTTTAATATGTGTATAAACTAGCTTCTATCAAGTTGATTTTGATTCATAGTAGCCCCACAGAATCAAGTATTGGGATTTCCAAGGCTGTAAATTCTAACTGGACCAGATTACATTATCTTTCTCCTGCAGAGCAGCGGGGTGGTTCAAACAGCCCACTTTTTGGTTAGCAGCCCAACATTTAACCACAGCGCCATGGGAAATCCTTATGAAACTTCTGCCATCCAGCCACATCTCTCCTCATCTCTCCCCAGATGAATCTTCCCCTCCAGCCTCCTCCACCTTTGCTCATAATGTTCTTTCATCACTGTCCTCTCAACTGCAGACTCTTCTGTCTCGGCCTCCGCCTGGGGAAATCATCTGTCTTAAGCTTGCCACCATTTGTCTTGTTCCTTTGGCTTGTGATAGAATGCTCTTACAATCTGTCTTCACAGTTAGAATTAAGAACTTTCAGACTAGGGATGCCCCCTTTTAGTTATTCGTGTCTTCAGTGCCTGGTCCATAAAACCCAAAGCAGACCTTTTTCTGTGAGTTGATTCTAACTCACAGTGGCCCTGGAGGGTAGCATATAACTGCCCAGTAGGGTTTCTTTTTTTTTTTTAATTATTATTAATTTTAATGAAAATTTACAGAGACTTTGGATTTCCATTCCTTTACTGTTACACTTTTCTCCCTGCCCATCCCTCTCCCTCTCTTGTATTTGAAAAGTAAAAGAAATTCTTTCATTGTTTTACAATACCTCCCCCCAGGTCCACTCCATTAAGCAGCCTTCATTCTGCACTCCTGTCATCACAATAATGCCTAATCACATATCCCTTTTAAACAATTTTCTCCCTCATCTGTTTCAATGCAGTATACATTATTTAGGATGCAGTCGTTATGGGAGGAACTTGCCCCATCTTTTTACTTCAGAGTGGCTGGTGGGTTTGAACCACTGACCTTTTCGTTATCAGTTGAGTGCTTAGCTTTTGTGCTACCAGGACTTCTTGCCCATAGTAGCAGAAAGTACTTGTTTTTGCTTGACTGATTCTTGGACTCTTCATTGTTTCTTAAGTATACTATAAATGTTCAATACATAGTGTAGAAGAAATTCACTTACCTGTTGAGCTTTCGCTGAGTATCACTCGATGCTTGACCCCAGTACTGTGCTGGGGATGCAGTGTTTACTTAGAGTTATCCCACGAAGCTGTAGGGATAAGTCAAATATGGTAAGATGAGGTTTGAGCATCTTTGCCTCCAGGGACCTCTTTGGTTACACCTTCTTCAAGACATAATAGTTTGTTCTTTTTGACAGTCTATGAAATATACTCTTATTCTTCTTCTGTCATCCTTATTCACTGCCCACATCTCAGCAGCATAGCAAGTGATTGAAAAGGCCATGGCCTGAATCAGGAATAACTTAGTTTTCAAACTAACATCATTGTTCCTCAATGATTTGGAGAGGTCCCTAACTGTAGACTTCCCTAGTGCAATATTTCTCCTGATCTCCTGACTGCCAGTACAAAGGGTATTGATTGTGGATCAAAGGAGAATGAAGTTGTTGACAGTTTGTCTTTTCTCCATCAATCATGATATTGGGTATAAGAGTAGCTAGTGGATTTGAACTGCCAGAGAGGTGCTATTTTTATGTTAGCAGCATAAGTCCTTGTGGCCTAGGCCACCACAGCTCCCTTATTATTGATGCTGTTATGTGCCATCGAGTCAGAACTGACTCATAATTGATCCTCCAGCTGATTTCCAGAGGCTGTAAATTGCATGGGAGGAGACTGCTCATCTTTCTCCCTCAAAGAAGCTGTTGCTTTCAAACTGCCTTTGGATTGGCAACACAGCTGTTTACCACTAGATTACCAGAGCACCTTGTATTTTTGTTGTTGCTTATTTATCATTGCTGTTGAGTTAGAACTGACTCACAGCTGACCCTCCAGTGGGTTTTCAGAGGCAGTAAATCCCACAAGAGGAGATTGCCCATCATTCTCCTAAGGAACAGCGGTAGATTTTGGGTAGGCAGCATGATTCCATACTGCTAGATCACCAGAGTATTAGAATTATTATTTCAATTGGCAATTAAAGATAGTGCTGTTAGATTATCATGTTCCTTTGGATATAATTCAATGTTTCTTTTTGACTTGCAGATTTGTCTTATATAGTCCAAGAAGAATTAGTTGTTTTAATCTTAAGACTCTGTTCCTATATTCTGAATTGTACATTTTGAAGATTCAGTAAGACAAAGAAACCACAGTAGCCTTTCCTACAGGGCATTCCATAAAAGATAATGGACACTTATTAGTGTACATGAAATGCATGTTTTCATTTAACCAAGACTCTCCTTTTCTGTGAAGGAGCTTATGGAATTTGTTCTCTAACGCTTGGGAGAATACTAAGCCTCAGTCTTCCCTCTCTTACTCCTGTTTGTTCTGAGAACCTAGAGTGTTCTCCTTTCTGGTAGAGAGAAGGCAGTAGCAAGGGCTTCATCAGAGCCAGTGGTGGTCAGCTACAAGTAGGCCATAGGCTGAGTGTGTGCTGTACTTAGCTTGTCTTCCAGCTGTTGTTGTTAGGTGCCATTGAGTGGAGTATGACTCATAAAGACACTAAGAACAACAGACCTGAACCCTGTCCCATCCTCACAATCTCTGACACACTTGAACCCATTGCTGCAGTAACTGGGTCAATCCACTTGCTTGAGTGTCTTCCTTTCTTTCACCATCCCTCCACTTTTCCAAGCACGATGTTGTCCCTCTCCAAGGCAAGTATGTGAGACACAGCTTCACCATCTTTGCTCCAAGGAGCACTCTGGCTGCACCTTCTTCAAGACATATGTGTTGCTCTTTTGACAATCCCTACAGTAGAGTATATCTTTTACTTAGCTCATTTTCCTCAACCAACTCCTCATTTGGAAAACTCCTCCTCATCCTTCAAATCCTAGCTCAAATGCCCACAACCTTTAAGATGCTTATTCAGAGCCTGCAAGCTAGTTGGTTCTTGATCCAAGTTTCCATGACAATTTTTACATGAAGTGTCATATATGGGGAGGGGTAGGTTAAGGAAATGGGAACGATCCTGGAGGCATCTGGAAAGACAGAGCAATGATGGGCATATTTCAGAGTTGACTAATTCTATAAAATATAATGAAGGGGAGTTATTGTATGAAACACAATGTGAATGAAGATAGGACGATAGTGTGAAAAACAAGGTATACAAGCGTTGTAAGCCAACCAGTATAAAAGAAAAATGTGTTTTTTAAAAAGTGGAGTTGGTTTAAACTCATGTCAGCAGAAAAATCCCTTACTAGATTGTTCCTCTGTTACCCAGTAGACCTTGTTCTGTTAAGTAACCACTGATCCCTGTTGTCCCGCTAACCATGGGTTGAAGCCACTGGGATGTGTTTAAAGGCTGTTATTCTGAGATCAGTTGATGGTGGTAGATGTTCAGGTCGCTTCTCTAGGTCGCTCTGGGACATATGCCCATTGAGTGGAATGCCCATGGAAGATTCGAGAACATGGAAATGTGTTCTCAGCATTCCAGTTCTTACTTTTACCAAGGTCATACATATATAGTTGGATTTTAATGAGTTGAACACTTTTGAGGGTACAGCCCTGCTTGACCCTTTAATGGCCCTTATCCCGCTCCTGTGGGGACATTGGGAAGCTCTGAGGTCGTCGTCCATAGGGTATTGATCATGCTTCTCTGGCCACTCTAATCCACCAGCAGCTCTAAGAGAAAAAGATGGGAAATCTCTTTCCTTTGGATTTGTTGTTGTTGTTGTGTACCACAGAGTCAGAACCAACCCATAGCTGACCCTCCAGCAGGTTTTCAGAGGCACTTAATCACATGGGAGGAGATTGCCCATCCTTCTCGGGTGGAGCGGCCAGTGGCCTCCAACTGCATGCCTTCAGGATTGCAGCACAGCTTCTTGTCTCGAGGTCGCTGGAGCTCCCTCCCAAAAAAGCCTCCCCTCCAAAACCTCAATGAGAAGGGTCAGCTGTGAGTTAGTCTAACTCAATGACCATGAGTTGAGTTAATGCAGACTTCGGTGGTTCAGTGGTTGATGGCCTTGAGTTGAGCTAATACAGACTTCGGTGGTTCAGTGGTAGATTTCTGTCCTTCCGCTTGGAGATGTAAGTTCAATTCCCAACCAGAGCACTTCATGCACAGCAGCCATGTCATTGGTGGTTTGTGTACTGACTGACACTCAGCAGGTTTCAGCATAGCTTACCTAAAACCAGATAAGGAAGAAAGGTCTGGAATCCAGCAGTCAGCTGCACAGCCCATTGCTGGGTTGTATAGGGGGTTGCCATGAGGCAGCCAGCAACAATCTTCCCTTAACTCTGATAATTGTTACTCATTAACCAGTAGGGAACTCTGGTGGCTTAGTTGTTAGGAGCTGCGCCCAAACCAGAGGTTCGAATCCAGCAGCTGCTCTGTGTGAAAAAGTTGGGCAGTCTCCTCTACAGTTCACTGCCTCTAAAACTGTACCAGAGGGTGAGCTATTGGTCAGTTCCATCTCGATGGGACATAACAACAAGAACTATTGCTTAACAACAATATTGTGTTACCTTGTGCACATCGTCTGAAGGTGAAAATGAAAACCTTTGCTTTACACCTTTGTGCTCCCATCCTTTACAAGACGCTTGTTAAGGGATGAGGTACCAGCGTGAGCACCCACAATGGTAAATAAGTGTTCTCTCTTCTCTTCAGGGCCGCCCCATAACTCCAGTGTACACAGTGGCTCCCAACGTACAGAGAATCCCCACCGCTGGGATCTACGGTGCCAGTTATGTGCCATTTGCTGCTGCTCCAGCCACAGCCACCATTGCCACACTACAGAAGAACGCGGCGGCCACTGCTGCGGTGTACGGGGGCTACGCAGGCTACATCCCTCAGGCCTTCCCTGCCCCTGCTGCTGCTATCCACGTCCCCATCCATGACGTCTACCAGACGTACTGAGACTGGGGGCGCACGTGGAGACGAGCCACCGAGATACCACTGAAGGAACCCTTTACTATTTATGAAGAAAGACCACGTGGAGGTTAGCACACGTCTGAAGCCTGCTCAAAGTGAAGAATGCTATCAGATACCATACTGAAATATTTTATATACATGAAGTTTTCACTAGTTGGTCTTTTGGTTGGTTTGGCTGTGTTTTTTTGTTTTTTTTAAAGAGACTATTTCAAACTTAGCTGGCCCGTGTTGATACATTTCCTGGTTTTGTGCCTTAACACCATCTCTTAAATATTTGTATACTGTAGTACATTTGTATAGAGGTTTGTTTGTTCGTTGTTGTTTTTTAAGGATATATTTTCAGTATGAAGGTTATTTTCTTAACTTCTGCACTCCAGAGATTTCTATTTTGTAGTACCTTCAATAATATATCAACTTTTATATGGAAAAAAAAGCACATCTGAGCAGCTGAGGAACTGTTTTGAAAAACATATATTCAATATTTAAGGATAACAAACCATAGTGCTTTAAAACTACTAAGTAAAAGGTTATTTTTAAAAGTTATACTGGAAAGTGCAATTTTAAAATGAATACAACCTCCTCGGTGTTTCTGTTGGCATTAAGGGTTGATGGTGTTGCCACCATGACTTGTTTAAAAGAAATGAAACACACAATCTCTCCTTAAGCCAAGACTGAAAAGACTTGCCGGGCTTCTGAGTTCAAACACTGGAAAGCTATTTGTCTGGGCCTACCATCGCCCTGGGCCCTTGCTTCTCTCTGTAGCTTTATTCCCCGCTCCCTCAGCCCAGCTCTGATGCTTGGCAAGTCTGGGGGAAATGCATTTACTCTGGGAGAAGAAAGAAAGGAAAGGGGCGGGCGGGGGGGGGGGGAAAGCTTTTCTATTTCTTTATGGGTTTTTGTTGGGCTTTAATTGTTTTGTTTCATTGGTTTTGGGGTGGGGAAGGTATTCTCTTCTGCGTATGCTGTTGTAGGCCCCAGTATGCATAAGCACAAGTTGGGAGAGTTGGCATAAGACATCCTTGCATAGCTATTTAATTGCCCCATAGAAAACTCCTTTGTTAGGCTTTTATCTTGTTTGTTTTTGAAGTATGAGTTATAGGGACAGAGAATGTATGTTATTGTAGACAAGACTCCTCTCCTGCCAGTTCTCCAAAAACTCTTGTTAGCAAAAAGTTATGCTTTTAGTTCCCTTATCATGTTTCATGCAAAACATCTGTGGTCATGAAAGTGTGGGAAACATTACGTTTATAGAGCAGGGCTTCCCTCCTTTGCCATGCACCTGACAGGTGAATGAGTTCAGGTGTTCGTGCCCAGGAGGCGGAGGGAGAAACCAGCAGGAACTTTTTAAAATTGTTAATTTTTTAAAAGTTGTAAATACTCCATGTTTAAAAGTAAGTTTCATGTGACACAAGTGCCTGGGATATAGTTTAATGCAAAGAGCGAAACCGTTTTATTTCAACATTATCTAGAGAGGTTTTGTTTTCCTAGGAAATAAACGTTGCAGAGTTTTGTGGCCTGTTTAAAGGCTCCTGTCTTGCAGAGTAAATGTAAAATACAGTAAAATGTTAAGATTGTCATCTACTTCATGAAATATATCATCTTGACTTTTTTTCTCCCTAAAGGCTCTATAAAGAAAGTGAGGTGTGCAATAGGTAGAAATAGACAGTTGTGTTTTTATGTCGTTAGAGAGCCATAAAGTCTTTCTACCCACTGGATTTTTGCTGAAATTCTCATTTGTGGATCAACAATAGGATCATGCCCTTAGTCAATAGTTTTGTTTTAAATTTTAAGTTAAGAGATTCCCAAATATCCTACCCCTCTTCCTCTCCTCCCCCCCATCTTGGGATGAGGGGTTGTTTTTTTATATATATAAACAATATTTATTTAACTATTTTATAAAATGTATTGAGCGCCTGTTAAGGCCTTTAAACATTCCTAGACGCTTTTCCATCATTCCTCCATGACATCAAGGAATGTGCAATGTTCCTAGCGTGTTCCCAGCCGCTTCATCCAGACTCAAATCCACTGGAATGAGAAACCCAGCAAAATGCAATTTGGATCCGATTCTCATCTCTGAGCTCTGTGTGAGAAAACATGCTCTCCTCCCAGCTCCGAGGTTAACACAGAGTTCACTAGATAAGGGTCTGACCCACTTCTTACTGTATTTTACATGTGTTTATAAATTACTTGCAAAAAAAAAAAAAGATACCTTAACCTGGCAACTTACCAAACTACCTTCAAAACGAATATTTGTGCATAGCCGGTTAAGTATCAATGAGCCTACTCTCCATGGTCTGTACCTATTTTTTTCAGAACCATTTCACATACACTACTGAGGTAAGTTTATAACTTGAAATGTGAACTCTTGTTTGTTTTTAGGGTTAAGAACAAACTGTCAATGTTAAAAAAGTTTTCATGTTCTGTTTTCAGACATGCAAGAAGTTCTCTTTTAATGCTTTGTATTTGGAAAGCTTTTAAATTTAGATCTTCCTCCACTGAAAGTGCATTCTTAGGATGTAGTAAATAAAGCATTCTGTAAAGCAAATTGCATGCCTTTCTTTATTTTACTGTAGTAAAATAAAGTGGGTGAAAGTTTACAGAGAAAATGAGTTTGCCCTTCAATGATGGTTTCCACTTCTACCTTGAATTTCGCATTTCCATTCATACTTTCCTGCTGTTTTCTTGTTTTGAAAGAAAGAGTAAACATTCTTTTTATTCAATGAGACGATTATAAATTTCATAGGATATTCTATGTACACAATATATAGAAGTGAGTTAAACTTTACAAGACTTAAGTTTCAAGATAAAAGATTCAAGACACAGTTTTAATATCAAAAGTTTGTTCTTAGGTGCTGTTGAGTTGCCTGAGATTCATAGTGATCCTGTGTACAAGAGCGCAGAACCCTGCTCTATCCTGTGCCAATCTCATCGTCTCTGCCACACCTACTCCCATTACCCTAGTCACTGAATCAATCCATTTCATCGAGGGTCTTCCTCTCCAGTGCTGTCCCTCCACCCTCCCAAGCATGACGCCCTTCTCCAAGGTCTTGTCCCTCCTTGCAACATGCTCAAAGTGTGTATATGCATCTATAATACCTTTTTAAAGTTTTCATTTATGTTGGTTAGCTTACAGAGTTGTATACATTGTGTTTCACACTTCATTCACATTGTGTTTCATACAGTCACTCCCATGCATTATGTTTTGTAAAACTGATTACCATTAGACTCTGCCCATCATTACCCTTTCATACTACCTTTTTGGCCTCTCATACTGCTCCTTTTTCATGTCATTATTCACTTTTCTGTTGTTTGACTGAAAGTTAATCCGTGGGGGTGTGGGTTCACTTCCTTATTTGAGGGGTTGTAAGAACAGGCTTCAACCAGTCTCTATCAGAGCAGTAAACCCAGTAAATGTTGTTGTGTGCTGTTGAGTCAGAACTGACTCATAGCTGAACTGCTGGCAAGTTTTCAGAGGTAGTTAATTGGAGATTGCCCATCCTTCTCGTGCAGAGTAGCTGGTGAATTTGAACTGTGAGCCATTGGGATTGCAGCATGGCTTCTTAACACTAGGCCACCAGTGCCCCTTAAATCTGGTCAATTACAACTTCATTATAAATGGTGAGATTTTTAATACTGATTTTGTTAAACAAAATTAGGAAAACTTACAAAATGGAGGGTATTGACTAATTCATTAATATCTGACAAATTACTGTCATGTTTTTGGTTTGGATTTGCCCTTAAAGATGGTGTTATTAGGTGCCCTTGGGTCCAATATCCTATGAACCACAGACCTGAACTCTGTCCTTTCCTGTGCTGTCCTCACACCTGACACACATGAGCCCATTAATGCTGTCACTGGCAGCATTTCATTGAAGGTCTTCCTATCTTTACCTTATCCTACACCTTTCCAAATATGATAATCACTTTATAAGGACTAGCCAGCCCCTCCTGACAACATGCCCACAGTATGTGAAAAATTTGTCCTTGCCTACAAGGAGCATTCTGGATGTACTTTTTCCAGGACACATTTGATTTTTCTTTTGGAAGTTCATGAAACATTCTGTACTCTTCTCCAATACCACAACGCAAAGGCATCAAGTCTTCTTTCATCCCTATTTATTGTCCAGCTCTTAAGTGACTGAAAAGACGATGGCCTGAATCAGGTGCACCTTACTTTTCAAACTGACATAATTACCCTTCAGTGATTTGGAGAATCTCCTGATAGTGTACTTGCCCAATGCAATATATTTCCTGATCTGACTTCTAGTACCAAAGTATTGATTGTAGGTTGCAGTGATGTGATATCGCTGACAATTTCAGTTTTTTTCTTTGCCTGTCATGATGTTGCTCATTGGTCCGGCGGTGAAGATTTTTGTCTTCTTGATGCTAATACCAATCCATATTGCAAGCTGTAGCCTTTGATCTTCTGCAGCAAGCAAGGTTTTGTCGTGTGTGTAACACAAGTTGTTGATAAGTCTTCCTCCTATCCTAATGCCATATTCTTCATAGAGTCCAGCTTCTCAAATAATTTGCTCAGCATACAGATTGAATAGATAGATGCAACCCTGATGCACTCCTTTCCTGATTTTAAAAACCATACAGTGTTCCCTTGCTCTGTTTGAACAATAGCTTCTTGTTCTAGGAATAGGCTTCATGTGAACACAATTAAGTGTTCTGGGATTTCTGTTCTTAGCATTAGCCATAGTTTATTATGATCCACAAAATCAAATGCTTTTCCA